GTAAAGGTAATTTTAATATATTTGATTTAAAAATTCGCTATATCAAGGGTTCGCTATATTAAGGTTTGACTGTAGTGGGTAAGGAGTTATAATCTAACTCTAACTTATACTCATAATCTAATAGATTATTATCATCATCTAAGATCTTAATTTTATAATGAATCTTTTGCTAAAATAGCATATGATTCAACCAAAAAAGAGTATTTTTTACAAATGTTTTAACTATCTTTAAATTAAGAACTTCATAAGAGCTTTTAAATAATCCTTATAAAAAATGAATAACATCACAATCAGAATAGCTTTTGTTTTCTATTTTACAATAAAAATTCTATTGCTTAAATGAGTATAGAATACAATTTTATTATTAATATTACTGATATTAAAAACTAAAACATTGAAGCTGCAGAAAAGAAGATGAAGCTGTGATTAGCTAGAATAAACCAATTTTTTTATATTATTGAGTTTACTAATTATTAATACGGTTTTGTAAAGAACCTTATATTTTAAAATTAAAATACAAAAAAAAATAGTTTTAAGTAATACAATTCTGCTATATTTCTGAACAATGTTCTCATTTTTAACAATTCTGGATCAAAATAAGATTACCTACAAACTGATAAGTAAATCCAAGAAATGTATAATATTTCAGTCACTTTTTTAGAATGAATATACTCTAAAGAAGTCAAAGAAGTGGTAGTTACCCAAAAGGACTGCTTATATCACTTTGAATCTAAAATCTTGGAATAAATCTTTGAAAAAATAGGACACAACTCATGATATTTAATTTAAATCCTTATACCAATGATAGCAAAGCTGAAAAACTAACAGAAACAATTATCATAGTGTTTGTAATGCAATATAATGGATTATATTCAGCCACAAATTGCAACAGAAGAAGAGAAGCCACTAAAAAATTCAAGAAGAAAATGAAGAAACTTTTAACAGGAAAGATACAATGTATTCATATTTATCTTAATCAGCAGGAATATCTGAAACTCAGAAAATGGATGAGAATAGCACGATAGATATATAATTGGTGTTTTACTACAGTTGAAAAAAAGGTGTCAAATAAGAAAAAAAGGATCTATGCACATTATTTCTTAATGCGTAAAACTTCAATAATATCAAACTTAAGTGGGTTCTTGAAACTCCTTATAATATTCATAATAAAGCAATGAATGACTTGCTTAAAGGATATTCTTCCAATTTTGCTGCTAATCATAAAAAATTCAAGATGAAGTTCCATTTCAAAAAGGATTCTCAACAGTTGTTCACAATCTTATCAAAGCATTGGGTAAATCTTGTGATAAATATTCATTTCTTCCTAAAATCAAGTCATCAGAACCTCTTCCAAAAAAACTCGAATATGATAGCTGTCTTATTATGAATCAGCTTGATAAATATTATTTTTGTATACCTAGACCACTTGAAATACAGGCTGAAAACTAAGGTCCTATATTTCAAAAGGTTTTTATCTATTTTTTATTATTTATATTATCTATTAAATTAAAACTTCAATTAATTACATATTTAATAATTTAATAGGAAGGATTAGGAGTGATTTCTCTAGATCCAGGTGTATGTACATTTATGACCAGTTATGATCCAAGTAGAATAGCTGTTGAATGTGGCAAAAATGACATTGGCCGAGTTTACAGATTATGTCATGCATATGACAAACTCCAAAGCAAGAGGGATCAAATTCATGGAAAAAAATAAGCGAAAATGTTACAGGTAAAATTTATTTATTAATTAATTATTTATTTATTTAATATTTATTTATAATTTAATGTATTTAATTGTTACGAATTTACAAGAAAATCCGTTGTCTTGAGAATGATTGTCATTACAAGCTGGCTAAATGGCTTTGTGAAAATTATCATATAATATTACTACCGAATTTCACACTCAAGGAATGGTCCGACGTGGGCAACGGCACATTGGTTCCAAGTAGGGATGTTAAATGGTCCTAAACGGTCCTAAAAGTCCCAATAGATTTGCCAGTTCTAGAGAAGAATTTTATTTTGCTGGCAGTATATTTTACTTTCTAAAGTCGATGTATTATTGAATATTTATTAAAAATATATATTAAACTTATGCGGAAATCCAGAATCTTAATTTTTGAAACTTAGGACCCGGT